TCTTGTCACACACTATTACATCTATACTCTTTGTTCTTCAAAATTTGTTTGCAATCATCATATAATAAAGAAAGAAAAATATATAGTAAATGATTGCATCAATTAAAGTTTTTAAAAGGATACATTGTTTTCCTGTTAGGTTCTTTATGAAAACCTCAGTTAAGTGGACATAAAACCTTTGAGCAGAAGAAGTTACTATCTTTTTCTGTAAATAGTTCCCCAATACGATATTTTAGTTCACCTTTGTGGCGCTTCCGATTAGGATCACTTGGTGTACATGAAGGAACATGTTTAGCTGGGAAAAAAGTAATTGAAAAAAAGTTTGTTTGAAAATTGAATGCATGTGCATACAATGTTTTGAGCTTACTTTGCAACAGAAATTCTACTTGAACTGTGAGTGAAAATAATGTTTCTCATAAGAGATTAAATTGCTTCATTTCTTAGACCTTGAAATTGGGCAGGTGGTATCGTAGAGCAGTTTTGTACTACTAAAAAACCAAAAGGATGAATTCAACATTAATGAACAGTAGAAGAAATAATATATCAATTATTTCCTTGAAATATTTGAATTTCAAATATTACATGATTATATATTCATTGTCGATATTATATTGTAGAATAATGCTAGTAACACACTGTTTTATTGGTTAAAATTCCTATGGGTCGCATCAAATTTATATGGGACCCACATAATTTGCTAGGCCTATATGATTTTTAAACAATAAAAGTGTATGTTAGAAAGTGTGTTTGAGAATGTATGCATTGCTTGCACTCTTCTATGTTGTGAGAAAAAAGGATTGATTTAGATCATATTAGAGATTTTTATCCTTATCTTTGGTTGTACTTATTAATACATGTTAACAATACATATTGAGAGTCGATCTCTAAAGTCATTCTGAACCTATGATGCCTATGTACAATTACGGGTATATGTTGTCAATAGCAGGCTATAGTGACATTATAGCGAAATAGTGCGGTGGTGGTAGGGTTCATCGTGAAGCATTTGTCATTAAATCCTTTTTTCAAACCCGTCTTTTTTTATAAGGGTGTTAAAGCCAATTTGATTCCTTTTAAGGGTAATGTTTTGTTCTTCATTCTATTATGTTTATGTTCTTGCTCACAAACAATTGTTTTATTCTTCTTCCTATTTTTAACTCAGTTCTGTTATGTTCTTCTCTGTTTAAACTTTAAGTTATGTACTTTAGGTTCTTTATTATCAAGTATGATGGTCTCTTTAATTTTGTTTTTTAATTTTTGAGTATTTATGTTTACTGTGTATGCTGATTGTTAGTCTTTGCAATTGCGGCTATCCTACTATCCACTATACCACTACAACATTTTAAGCGGCCATCGGTGCTACTCGATGCTATCTGAGTTTAGGGTTTCAGATAGCATCGAATTCTTGGAGGGGAGGCCAATACTCTCAAATTTCTTGGATAGGAATTTGCTTTATATCTATTATATCATTGTCTATTTAAACTTTCTCCGATGTACCAGTGTGTTAATTCTGTATTAATAATATAAACAGTTGTTATCTTTGCGTTTGGGGCAATGACGCAGCTAGTGGGTTCTAACCGAGGCGCGTCTATTGCTGGTTGAAAACTCTAATATAAACAGTTGTTCTAGACAAATTATGCAGAGGATTGTTCTATCATTTTTTGTTTTCCTTTCTATAACGCATTCACTATAGGTACTAGTTTCAATCTTATACTAGCGCTATTAAATAGATCTCATTCATCTCCACCAATTTTCCCAAATTCCTGTCTCTCCCTCATTATAATTCTTACTCTCATGAGAGAAGACAAACATTTGAATGAATAAAAACTAAATCTTCAGGTCTCTTGGGATTGAGCCTATTTCTTTTCAATGATTGTATAAACAAATATTTAGCATTACTATCGTTGCATGTCATGTTACTATCTATGTAGTACTTGGAGGAAAATAAAGAAAAGCCATAAACAATGAGAGGTGCGGTGGGAATAAAGGCACCTTAGCACTTGAGAGGGAATTTAAAAGACTGTTTCTTCTGCTTTATTTGTCACTTGTGTGGCAGTCTTGCAGGAAAGATAATCAGCACAGTACTGTGGGTGTGTTGCTTTATGCTTCTGCTATACTGCTTTTGAAAAATTGAAATAAACCTAGATATTGCTTATTCAGACGCAGATCTTATTACCATGCCCAATTCATAACATGTAATCTGCGTATTTTCATCTTCTGTGTACCGGAGCCGCACCCCGACTTACTGAACAGTACCCGTGCTGCATATCCAGTTCAAATAAAAAGGGATACGGGATGGGTAGTTACCCTACTCTTACCCGCATATTCAATACGTACCCAATATGGGTTCTTAATGTTTGGGTTTAACTTTCCAAATTCTTTTCTCTAGACATACTGAAGCATTACCATAATTTTTAGTTTTTGAGAGAGGGAGAATGTTTGTGAGATAAGAGACCACATCTACGGTATGTATATATTGTCAATGCTTCAAACCCAATAGGTTCCTGCGTGGAGTGTCTTAGCTATAAAATTATTCACATGCCATAGTTTAACTGCTTATCTAGGTCTTAGTTTATCTAGGTAGGTCCTGAATTATGTGTCGGACTAGTTTCGCGCCAGCTTGCCATATACTAGTTAAGGTGAATGCTCACCCGTTTTTCATTTTTATGCAGCTAACAAAGGCTTATTTTGCATTCTTGGAGGTTCTGTTCTACAGCCACCTCACTTTCATCTTGAGCTTGGACACAAACACCTTTGTGCATTTAGTTGGCTCCCTCGAATCTGGTCTAAAAGGCTTGGATACAAGTATATCATCACAGGTTATGGTTACATATCATTTGGATCTTCCTTTCTGGGAACTAAATCACATTTTTTCATATAACTATTTTCAGAGAATTCTTCTGTCGTAAGTATTATGTATTTAGTTTCTTGTTGTAACAGTGCTGCTGTTTAACTCCTTTAATTTCTGATTACAGTGTGCATCTGCTGTTGATAATTTGGTTGCTTTCTATTTTAACAACATCAAAATGGGAGAGGCTCCAAATTTACCTGCATCAGTCAATCTTGCTCGTCATATTGCAGAGTGTCCCACTCTGTTCCCAGAAGTAAATATATCTAAATTTTACGGCTCACTACTCATATAAACATTTATCCATAATTTTCCTCTTAAGATTTTTATAAAACTATTTATGTGATCTGGAAATATTCTGTTGTAGATAATCTTAATATCCTTCTTTTTGCTCCAAGTTACACATTAATGCAGTGCAAACTTTCAAGTCATAGAATATAACTTATATAACTGATTTACATTTTTGTGCACATGGTGTATTTTAAATTGTCTCCTAGCTCCAGAAGCAAAACTTTCATTTTAGTCTATTCATTTTACTTGTCTGAATCGGTTTTCCTCTTGGGATGGAGAGCAGGGGTTATTTTTTTGACCATAACTTGAGTGTCTTCTTCATTTCTAGATTTTGAAGACTCTGTTTGAGATCTTATTGTTTGAAGACTGTAGCAACCAATGGAGTCTGAGCAGGCCAATGTTAAGCTTGATACTCATTAATGAGAAGGTAATGGACCTTGCTATCCTTTTTTCTTTCGTCATGAAATTTACTGCAATATCCTCCAGCTTGAAGTTTAGTTTCAATATACTTGATGTATGTATATTTACTGTCTGACTAGTAACACAATATGCATACATATATGCATCCTTATAAGCTGATTTAGTAACACAATTCCAGTTATACTTTATTTGATTGTCAAACTTAGAGTTGTCATTTACTTGCAGACATTCTCTGATTTGAAAGCTCAAATTTTGTCATCACAGGTATTTTCCTTCTTGTCCTTTTTCTTAGATAGGCATTTTTGTTCGCATCCCAATTTTAGAGTCGGATTATAGACATTTTAATTGTCATTTCTTATCTAGCTAAGGTTTTTAACAGACACAGACCCTTGAGTTTATATCTTTCTTCGCATAACCTTGTCATGTAAAAAACTCAGTAGGATCTAGTGGTGACTGTCTATGAAGCACAGACACGTGTAGGAAAAGGCGTGTCCGACATCTGTATGACACCCGTACGACACGTCTCAAAAGTCAAACAAGTGTCTGAAAGACAAGTGTCCCTTAATCAGTGTCAGACACTTGTATGACACTCATACAACACATGCCAAACAATTCAGACGAGTTTTTCATAAAATACTGTTTTTTCTTTCCTTCTACACACCTTATACATTTCTTGAACAAATCTGATACATATCTAAAAGGGCTGAACATGTATTGAAGCAATGTTATCAATGACATTTATTAGAGTATTTTTAACTCTTTAAATAATAGATGGATTAATGAAACTGGAATGTTATCATATATAATGTAGTTGTGTCCTATAATTTTTACAATATCAGCGTCGGAGTGTCCGTGTCCGTGTCGTGTCCCGGTGTTTTTGTCGGAGTCTATGCTTCATAGATGACTGTTTACAATTTAACAAATTCTTTGGTCAGACAATACATCAAAATGATAATGATAACTTGCTAACAATTGATAGTGGTTCATTTTCTGTAGCTTTGAAAATACACATGTTATTCCACTATCACTATGTTGCGTAACTCACTATGTTGCGTGTAACTCACTATGTTGCGTAACTCTGGTTATCTTTTGCAGCCAATGAATCGTCAAAAGCAGCTCTCTTCATGTTTTGATAAACTTATGGCAGACATAACTGAAAAATTAGACTCAAAAAACAGGGATAGGTTTACTCAAAACCTCACCATATTTCGGCATGACTTCCGTGCCAAATAATTTGGATTTTTATGAATTTTTAAAGAGAGAATGATTGGTGTTTGTATTTTGTCTGGAGAATCTGTCACCCTGTGTTTTGGTGGCATCTTGAAATCCTATCATTGGAAGAAGCAACCACATTTTGCAATTTCTTTCATTTGGCTCTTATGTGAATGAAATGTATTCTTTGTAAGTTCTAGTTCATGGAGTGTGCAAGTCCCAGTGTATACTTATGGTGGTAGTGTACCCAGCTGTAGGTTATTCAAAGTTTATTGGTGATACAGAAAAGATTTTAAGGTTTAAGGAAGGGGTCAGGACAAGAAGGGACTTGATTAGAAAAATGGAGGGAGGGATGGAATTGGAACCTCCTGAAGGGTAGGGTTATTGAGTTAGATAAATTCTTTTTATAACTCATGTACATTATTTATGACTTTCATTTTGAATCTTCTTAGATATTATTTGATATTTTTGTATAATAATTGATTTCTCTGTACTCCTAGTGAAAATCAGAAAAGAAAGAGGAAGAAGAATTTCTGTTTAGATTGTGATAGAATTATAGAAGAGAAAGGTTCATTGCACACTTGTTTTCCTCTCTTATACTTTAAGCTTTGTATTTTAAAATTTTGTTCGGATGTGCTATGTAAATTTAGTGTTGTAAATAATAGGATTGGCGATTTTTTTCTTTCATTCTTGATAGGTCAGAGCTGATTTGAAGGAATTCAGTTCTACTTCTATATATTTTATCATAAGATAACATACTAGTACGAGTCATTCATTCACAGTAAAGTTCAAGTCTTAATCTGAGTCGGTATCAAAGCTAGCACTGTGATAAAACCCAGTCCCAATACAGAAGCATTAAAAGTCCTAATTTGAGAACCCAAACGTTCTAGTTATCCTGATGACCAGCCCTAGTCAATTTATGAGACTACCAAAATGCTTACTGTTGGGACTTTGCTGTCACCTTAAATAACCTCTTACTCAGTTGATGTGTTGATAGGATCAAAATGGTAAGTAGAATTAGAATTGATAAACAGAATGAAATAGGGAAGAATTTATGAAATCAGGAAATGTATTATAACTGAAATAAAAGCTAGAGTTCAAATGGGATTTAGCTGAAGAATACTGGGATGAAATATTGAAAATGAAAATGCTACAATAAAAATTAAGCTTTTTGAAAGGCTTAATCTTTTCTAGGGTGGTAAAACCACTTAATTCATCTAGCCTCCACTAAACATTCAATCTCTATTTAATAATCAGATCCACTTTCTGGCTCTGCCACCGGTCACGTCATGTGCTGACCTCCAAGTTTAGGTACGATGGAATTATTCCTCGCTGCTAGGTGTCCGTGTTCTCTTATACACTCTTTCATATCTAACAATACACCCTCTTCAAAATCCTCCTCGGACCTCAAGGAGAAATTCTGAATTCTCCTTGAAAATTCAGTCCTCATTTTTTCTTTTAATATCTCCCAAGAGTTCTCAAACTCTGGTAGTCCTTTCCACTTCACTAGCACTTCTACCTTCCCATGATCTGTTCTTTTGATATCTCAGGACTTGGTTTTAAATACCAATCCTCATTCATACAAGCTGGCAGTGGTTGCGACTCGATATTTGCAGTTATGGCTTTCTTTAATAATGAAGCATGAAAAATTGGATGGACCTTGTATCTTCGGGTAATTTTAATTCATAGGCTACTTGGCTTATCCTCCGGATCACTTCATAAGGCATTTAATATAGAGGGTTAGGCTTTTGATTGACTCTCTTAACCAACTTCTTTAGCTTATAAGATGTTATCTTCAAATACACCATGTCTCTTGTGTTATACTCCACCTCTATTCTATGTTTGTTGGCCTAATTTCTCAAGATATCCTGTGCCCTCAAGAGTTGCTCTTACATTTCTTTCAACATCTAATTTCTCTTGCTATCAATCTGTGAACTTCGTCTTCAACTGAGACATTCACATCCCTTCTAATCAATATTGGAGGGAATCTCCCACACAAAGCTTCAAAAGATGTTGTTTTTAGTGGTGCATGTAGTTGGTGTTATACCAGTATTCCGCCCAGGATAACCACTGAGGACATTGTTTCAACTTTCTTCTTGTAATGCATCTCAAATAAATTTCTAAGCACCTATTTAAAACAGCTCTTCCCATAAGTTTGTGGGTGATAAGCACTACTATATTTCATCTTAATCCCTGTTTGTTTGAAAATTTCATACCAGAAATTTCTTAAAGACACCTTATCCATATCTGACACTAGAACTAGGAAAACCATGCAACCTTACCATTTACTTGATGAATAAATCAACTATGTCTAGCGGTGTAAGGGTGGCTCACGGATATGAAGTGAGCATATTTAGTCTATTTGTTCACCACTACCATAACCGTGTTAATACCCTCCCACAAAATCCACGGATATATCATTCCATATTTGAGTAGAGACTGATAATGATTATAACAACTCACCCGAACTTAGAGTTTGGTAGTTGTTTCTTTGACAGACTTCACATGCTTGGACATGTTATTGGATTCTTCTTCTCATCCCCTCCCAGTAGGAAACTCTAACAATCTTCTTATAGGTTCTCAAATATCCCGAGTGTCCTCCCACTTCTGTGTCATGAAACTCATGCAGAATCCAAGCAACTCTAGATGAACCTTTAGAAATCACAATCCTTCTTTTATGATATAATCTCCCCCTTTTAATTGGAAACCCTTATGACTAAGGTGATCACAAATCAGATCCTTGACTACCTCTTTCAACTTCTCATCACCTTGTATTTCTTCTTCTAGTCTCTCCCACGCTTCACACTGCACAATGGCAAATGTAGTACATTGCATTTGTCTCGATAATGCATCAACTACACTGTTCTTCCGACCAGACTTGTATTTGATCACAAAGTTAAGCCATCAACTTAGAGATCCATTTTTGTTGATCCTCTCCCCTATCTCGTTGTTCAATTAGGAATTCAAACTCTTTTGATCCGTATGCGTCTTGAAATGTCCGCATTTTTTAATTGCAATGACATTAGCCATCAATTCTCTCTCGTATGTTGGTTTGCTTCAAGCTATATCCGACAAGGTCTAACTCATATTTCTTGCATTAGAACTGTCCCTATTCCTTTCCTCGAAGCATCTGTTTCCAACACAAATTCCTTTCCAAAATTCAGCATGGCTAGTACCGAAATAGTGGTCATAGTTGTCTTCAACTGGTCAAAAGTTGTTTGGGCTTCAGCATTCCACATAAAACAGTCTTTTTTAAGGAGTCGAGCTAATGGCCAAGCTATCTTTCCATAATTCATTATGAATTTTGATAGTACACTGTTAACCCCAAGAATCCTCTTAGACCTTTCAGATTTTTTGGTTGTGGCCATTTCAACATGTCTTCAATTTTTCTAGGATCAACTGGTACTCCTTTTCCTGAGATAATATGCCCTAGGTACTCAATCAGCTCTTGTGCAAATGAATTTTTTTTCTATTTGCATGCAACTTATCCTTAGGATTAACAATATCTCCCTCAAATATTTCTTATGATCATCCATGCGTTTGCTGTAAATAAGAATATCATACAAAAACACTAAACAAAATTTCTTCCTATAAAGTCTCAAGACTTTATTCATGAGAGTTTATAAGGTTGATGAAGCATTTATTAGGCTAAAAGGCATAACCAAATACTCGTAATGACCTTCATGCGTTCTAAATATAGTCTTAGCTATATTGTCCTTCTTCATTCGTATTGGTTGATAGCCCAATTTCATATCCATCTTCGGCTCCTTCCAATTAATCTAACATCTCTTCAATTATTAGAATAGGAAACTTGTTTGGGATCATTACCTTGCTCAAAGCTCTATAGTTCGTGCAAAATTTCCATCCTCAGTCTTTTTTTCCACAAGAAGAACTATGCTAGCAAAGGGACTGGTGCTATGTCTTACTATTCTAGCTTGCATCATGTCCTTCACTATCTTTTCTATCTCGTTTTTCTGATATAAAGGATATCGGTTTCAACACAGTAGCGTGATGATGATCCCTAATAGGTGGTAATCCAAATGGCATGTTGAAAATGTCCTCATACTCTTCCAGAATTTTCTCCCACTCACCGAGTTGTTACGAACTGACTTTTTCATTGTTGTTCTCCGCCATATTGTGCACAAAATATGATCACCTTGGTTGGATAAAGTAATTTGCAAACACATATTGCCAAAGTTGGCTTCAATAGTGCCAAGACTAGCTAGCCAGTCCATGCCCAATACCATTTCGGATCCTCCTAACTCCATGATGAAGAAATGTTGCTGGAGCTTAACTCCTTGGATTTGAAACTCCAACCCTTCACACACTCCCTTGTTTTTTACCTTTTACCCATTTCATATCTCAATCACATAAGTAGGAGCGTGAACTATTTCTAGTCCCAATTTTGAAGCTATGAATTTTCTAGTAGCTCCTAAGTCAATTAATGTTACCACTTTTCTGTCTCCTATCTGTACCCACACCTTAAAGGATTTGTTAGAAGTAAATCCAGCTTGACTCTGCAAGGACAGTTTCAGTGTCTACAATTCCCCCCACCTCCTCATCTTCACTTTTTGGTTCAGTAACCAACTCTTCCCTCTTTTTCTTCACCACTAATATCCTCACATAACTTTAAACTCATGTGTTTGAACTTGCACATGTGCTCCTTATTCCATTTGTCTTCACATTTAAAACATAACCTTTTTGGCTCATTTCCTCTAATTCTGCAGGGTTCAACCTTCTACCCTTAAATTTCTCATTCAACCCAGTACTACCTTTATCACCATCCTTCTTGGCCCCACCAAAATATTCAAGATCCTTGATTATAATAGTACCACCTCTATCCTTCCATGAATTTCCTTTTTTTTTGTTAGAACCTCATTTTTCTCCTCAATAAGTAACGCTTTATCCATCAATTTAGCGAGATTATGGCTTTCATGTAACTTCAATTCTGCTTGAATTTCCCCATTCAATCTGTTTAAGAAGATCGAGTCCAACATAACTCTTTCCTCTCTTCTTAAATGGGCTACCATCATCTAAAACTTTTTCCTTTTTCCTTAAACTCGGTAAGGGTACCAACAGATTGTGTAACAGCCCCGGTTGAAAATGTCACATAATTGCCAAATTAAATTCATCCTATATTCTCAATGGTGCTTGTTCTTCCCACCACTGGTATGAGTTCGACGCCTTATCCTAACATCGATTTTGTATTGAACACGCACTTCATTCAAATGGAATTACCGTTTGATACACACCAACCAACGATACACATCTTCTTCTTTGAAGAGTGGAATCACCATACTTCTACTTTCGAAGAATTTGGGATCGATTTCGCCCCCATGACGACGGTGACGAGGTCGCAACTCCCGCCTCAACGTGCTATGGTCACTTCCCCCTTCCTCCTCTTCGTTGTCATAACCTCTAACACGTGGTCGTACATTTCGCTGGTTGTTACGAGGTTGTTGCTTTTGGATCAATTTTCGAATTGGACCCATCGTGACTTGCGGTCTTTATTGTTGCTCCACCACCATATGACCAAAGCACATGTATCTACTTTGTTTTACGTGACCATTCCATATCGTAAACGTAACAGCTGTGATACCAAATTGATAAGATCAAAATGGTAAGTAGAATTCATAAACATAATGAAATGGTGAAGAATTTATGAAATTAGAAAATGTATTATAATCGTAATAAAAGCTAGAGTTCAAATGGGATCTAGCTGAAGAATACAAGGATGAGTTACTGTAAATGAAAATGCTAAAATAAAAACTAAGCTCTTCGAGAGGCTTAATCTTTCCTAGGGTGGTAACCATTTAATTCATGCCTAGCCTCCATTGAACATTCCTTTTCTATTTAATAATCAGATCCATTTTCCCTCTCTGCCACCTGTCACACGTCATGTGCTCACTTCCAAGTTATTCCCTGTAGCCAAGTGTCCAAGGGAATTATTCCCTGCAGCCAGGTATACATGTGTTCTCTTATGCTCTTTTCCATATCTAACATGGGTAAAATAAATCTGTCATCATATGTAATCTGATTTTTATCGTACAATTGGATCTACTACAGAATGACAAATATTGTATCCTAATGTCTTCCTTCATAATGACGAATTGAAGCTTTGGGATAGACTTACGTTTTTACATGGCCACAAAAACAAACATGCATTTAGTCAACCTATTTTCATCTCGTTTTATCTCTTTAGTTTTCTATTTTTGCATAATCATCATTATTCTTCACAGGGATGTTCGTTTGAGCTGGGTTTAGCCAAATCCAATACCCAATTCATATAGAACAATTCAATTTGGTTGAGTTAAAATAACCACCCTTTATATTAATGGGTCAGTTTTGACAAATCCACTAATTTTAAGATTGATTTTGGTTGGGTAGTGGGTTGTCCAAATAAATTTTGTATGTTTCTTGTATGAAGAGCAATCTGATGAGTGTATGTCAACTCATTGAGAAAGGTTTCTCAGTAATTATGAAAAACAATTTGTTGAAGTTGTATAATTCTGATCAGAAGCTGATTATGCAATATGAGCAGAAAATCAACATAACATTCAAGTGAATATGGAGACAAGTGGAACTAAATGCCTTAGTGCAGAAGGTGTTGAATGTGACAGTCAGTTGTGACACAAGAGACTGAGCCATATGAAATTCAGAAGCTTAGATCATTTGAGTTCTAAGAAACTAGTACATAACATTCTTAAGACTGTGAAGCCTGAGAAGTCATGTGATATATGAATGAAAGGTAAGCAACCTAGATTACCATTTGTATCATAAGTGGCTCCAAGAGTAACACATGCTTTGGGAGTAGTGTGTTCTGATGTATATAGACCATTTGAAGTATATTTACTTATATTTATTTGGAGGAAACAAGTAATTTGTGTATTTTGTGGATCAGTTCACAAGAATGACATGGATAACACTGATAAAGTTTAAGCGTGAGGTGTTTGCTGAGTTTCATAAGTTTAAAGTGAAGGCTGAAAACAGTGGTCAGAAGCTGTGTATCCTCTTATGAGGAATCAGAGTCCCAATTCATAGTTCGTAACTGGTTTGTGCTTTTTATGAATTACGCATATATTTTAATTTCCCTTGTACTTAGTACACGTGTGTGAATAGCGGAGATTTTGGACTAAGCACGTAGTTAATTAAAATATACTTCGTAACTCTTTTTTAAAATTAATTGTTGAATTAATTTATTTATGAAAAATAATTTGTTGTTGGTTAAATATTTTTTAGAGTGTTAATTGTAGAAAATATCTTATTTAGATGCATGATTAAAAAAAAAAGTTTAATACAATAAATAAAATATATTTGAATGAGTTTAGAAATAGTATTATTTGATTTTATAATAATAAATACATTAAAATTATAAATATATATGGAAATATAAAATATGAAAAATAATCATAAGAAAATAATAAAGAAAATTAAATAAAACGCAAGGGGGGGTGAATACAGTTTAGAAGTAAAACTAGGAAGTGTTAACAGCATGAGCCTGAATTCAGATATTGAATTCAAGCCCAAAAGACAGGAGGTATAGTTTTACACTACGCAGCAAAATGGAGGGTGTAGGAAGTATGGGTCCAAGTCCAGATATTGGACTTGGCCCATTTTTTCAGGGGGTGTTTTTTGAGTGTTGCTAGCAAAAAAAAGGCAGGGGTGCGTTTAGAGATTGGCTTGGCCCAATAATGCTTTGAGAAGTCCGTGTGGTCAGCGTGTGGGAGGGTATACCGTAACACGGTGGACAGGCGCATTTATGAGCATATGGTGGAGATTGTTTGATTGAGATTGTGGGTGTGTGATAACAACTGTGGGGTGACGCGTATTGGATTGTAGGTCATAATATAATTTCATTTTTACAAAATTATTATATCATTTTGTTCTTTCTCTTCTCTTTGCCCCGTCTATGTTCTCTCTCTTCTCCTATCTTCCAACCTCACCCAAACAGCACCCAAACCCTAACTTCTAATCTCGGAGGCGGCGCTACATCCAATCCCTTATCTCCCTCTCTGATTCCACTACAAACCACCAAACCCTAAAAATGCTTCCAAAACCCCTACAACTGTTTCAAAGATCCAAAAGGAAAGTTGTGTGCTTACCTCAGATCCTTCTGAGTTTGAACTTCGCGTTTGCTTGAGCTTCTTCTGACTGTCCTTCTTTTGTCCTTGATAGGTATAGTGGTGGTGGCTTGACGGAGATGCGATGGAGACTGAAGCGGAAGCGGCTCAGCTAGGGTTTCAAATGTTGAAACCATATGCGGGGGTGAACAAACGTCGGCGAGGCTCTCTTTGTCCTTCTACTTTTTCTGTTGATTTTCTCCGTCAATTTTCCTCCCTCCTCTGTAATGATTTTTGTCTCTGTGAATCCCCCCCCCACCTCCCCCCCCGGTAATGATTTTCGTCCTTTAGGTTTTATAGTTTAGAATTTAGTTTATTTAGGAAACAATTTTATTAGGACATTACTCTGTGATTGATTTAGGAAATTAGAAATTAGAATTGGTTATATATAAAGGTTGTTACATATCTATGTAAATTGATTATGGCTCTGTATTAATTCGTTTTTGTTTTGGTTTTGATTTGTTTTTGTTTGTCTCCTAAATAATCAATGTGAAGATTTGCTTCTTGTTTATTCGATTCAAACAGTACTCGCTTTGGTGGTTGTTTTTTGCTTTTAAAAGGTGTGTTGCCATCTGATTAATCCGAACAGTGTCTGTTTAGAAAAAACTAAAGCGTGCATTTTTTTCTTTGATTGATACAGTGAATGTTTCCTTGAGACTTTGGGCTTGGGCCTTATTTGCTTGGGCTTTGGATCATGTAACATTTTTCAATAAAACAAAACCATATTTATTTAAATATTAAAATATAATGATTACTAACAATGTTATACAACGTTGCATAATATAAATAAAGATAGTAATAACAATAATTCTAATAATGTAATACTTAAAACAAAACAACCCTCCAGGCAAATCAAAAGACTGAGTGGGCCTCCTTATTGGGCTTTAAATGAAAAAAAAAAACAGATTGTTTTACACATTCTTTCAACCCTATTCAAAAACCTAAATGGACCTTATTGATTTACAACATACACCCCCTTTTCAATATCTGAAATGAAATAAAAAATCACATGGCCCTTTTCTTATTTAGAAAGGCCCATGATTTTTTCAAAATAGTATACCCCTATTATAAAAATGCACATTCTCTCAAAACATGAATGAAACCTTAATGGGCCATCAGATATTGATGGTCCACTTTTGATCAATACACCTCTCTTCCATGTTTTACATCCCCATAGAAATAAAACCTACTTAATATAATTTAATTAAGAACCTAAATATAATATAATGGTAGGGCAAATTTGGGCTATGACACATACGCACTAACATTTTATTTGTAATGATCTTTTGTTGGGGTGTCATCTAGACGAGGTTTGATAACGTCCAATTAGGTTCTTGTGTAACCGAAGATATTAGGTTGATATTTGTAGGGGTCTTCTTCCGGAAAACTGCAGGTTCTTCCTCCAAGATCATTGATTGATTTGAGGGTTTTCGTGCAAGACATTTAAGAGGTAATTGTGGCCAAATGATCTGCCAGTATACTTCCTTTTATAGCTTTATGAGTATGATATTCAATATCGTAGTTTAATAGTAACATTTTCCAACAGGAAATTCTTCCTGTCAACATAGGCTTCTCAAAGATATACTTAATATGATCCATTTTGGATATCAACCAAGTAATATGATTCAACATATAGTGCCAGAGACTTCGGGCATTCCATGCCAAAACACAACAAGTTTTCTCAAGCAAAGAATACTAGGGATTCGCAATTCATAAGTTTCTTGCTCAGGTAATAAATATCATGTTCTTTTCTACCGGTCTCGTCCTGTTTTCCAAGGACACAACCCATCAATCCTTCCAAGACTGTTAAATACATAATCAGAGACTTTTCTTCTACTAACGGGATCAAAATATGAGGCTCAAGCAAGTAATCTTTAATATTATCAAAATCCTTTTGACAATCTTCACTCCACACAATACCTTGATCTTTACGAAGCAATTTAAAGATTGGCTCACAAGTGGCAGTCATGTGAGAGATGAACCTGAAGATATAATTCAAATGTCTAAGAAATCCTCTGGCTTGCTTTTCTATTCTAGGTGAAAGCATGTCTTGAATGACCATAACCTTATCTGGATCCACTTGTATACCTTTCTGACTGATAATGAAACCCAAAGCTTCCCGGAACGAACACCGAAAGTGCATTTGTTTGGATTCAAGCATAGTCTGCACTTCCTCAAATGCTGGAACAATTTCAACAAGTATTCTGCATGATCTTCTTCAGTCTTAGACTTGGGAATCATATCCTCAACATATACCTCGATTTCCTTGTGTATCATGTCATGAAATATGGTAGTTATAACCCTCTAGTACGTAGCACCAACGTTCTTCAAGTCGAAGGACATCACTTTGTTATAGAATATTCTCCAAAGAGTGATAAACGTTGTTTTTTTTTCCATGTCTCTAGGTGTCATCTTAATCTGATTATACCCGAAAAAACCACCTATAAAGAAGAAAACATTAAACTTAGATGTATTATCTACCAACATATCAATACGTGACAGAGAAAAATGATCTTTTAGACTGACTTTATTCAAATCTTTATAGTAGACATTTTTATCATTAAAGAAATACGAGAATATCATGTATAACTTAGAAGGTGACCAATTATACATTTTAAATATAACATTACAATATTTAAAAGATAATTAGACGGTTAGACTGCCAATTTTTTTTCTCACTATTCCATTTTGATGTCTACAACAATAATTTTTTTTCGTATATATTTTTAATATGTTTGCAAGTTGTTAAAATAAAAAGTAATAGTGACATAAATATAGGAGTTCTGTTTGTTTTAAAAAATATATAAAAAAACTTTTTACCAAAATTTTAAATAAAAATTTGATTTAATTAATTTATTAAAATTTTATTTTAGATATTTTATTATTTTATTTAAAAAAATTAAATATCAAAATTTTAAAAAATTAATTAAATTTGAAGTTATTTTAAAGAAATGTTTATAAAAATTATTTGACATATAATTTTTGAAAAAACTGTAATGTCGATTATATTTCAATTTTCAATAATTTATGTTTATATTATAAAATTTTCGTATAACATGTTGAAAAATATTTTTATAAAATTCAGTTTTAGAAATATAAAAAAGCCTATCTTTTAAAATCGAAAACAAACAGACCCGTAAATAAAATGAACAGTGTTATCTTAAAATAAATAAATAAAATTATCATATGTTATATTTTATTTTAGTTTATGGATTGTACTTGTTTTAATAATAATAAAAAGTCTTAAAATGAATCAAACAATTTGGTTTTTTATTGCATTGATTTGTGTAAATTTATTATTTAAAGTAAATCGAATATTTTAAATTTGTTTGAATTCTTGTCTACAAAAATTGAAGTAAAATATTAAATCTATATATTGCATTAAGTAGTGTACGAAAGGTGTATTAAGTTGGTTTAGAGAGAGAGGAACACGGCATTGTTTATATTAATAATAAAGTGTAGATAGCTAGAGAGAGAGAGAGAGATTTTGACAATCCTATCATATCTGAAATGGCTGCTTCGGGTATCGCTGGAGCAGGTCTCACCCTTCTCAACCGCTTCTCCTCAGCCGCTTCTTCTTCTTCTTCTTCTTCAACTCGATGCCGAACTCGTTCTGTAACCATGGCTGTATCCACCGACCAGAAGCCCAAAACCAACGAAAAACTCACTCTCCGCAAGTCCGAAGAAGCTTTCGCCGCTGCAAAGGTTCTTTCTCTTTTTTCTCTGAACATTCGATAAATGAATGGAATGTAATCGATTTGAATTGTCTGTGTTAGGAATTGATGCCTGGAGGAGTTAACTCCCCCGTTCGTGCCTTCAAATCAGTTGGTGGACAACCCATCATCATTGACTCCGCTAAAGGCTCTCGGATGTGGGACATTGATGGCAACGAATATATTGACTACGTTGGTTCTTGGGGTCCTGCAATTATCGGTCACGCCGATGATCAGGTTTCTCTCGTTATTCTTAGGTTTAACGGTCCAATTCATTTGTCATATATTTTGCTTTCTTAGGGTTAACAGATTCTTTCAATACTTTGATATATTGTGTTATATTTTTTTATTTTCAATTACAGGTGCTTGCCGCTCTGGCTGAAACAATGAAGAAAGGAACCAGTTTTGGTGCACCTTGTCTTTTAGAGAATAAGCTGGCAGAGATGGTTATTGCTGCCGTTCCCAGTATTGAAATGGTGAGATTTGTGAATTCCGGAACGGAAGCGTGTATGGGTGCACTCCGCCTGGCGCGTGCTTTTACTGGGAAGGAGAAGATTATAAAGTTTGAGGGATGTTATCACGGCCATGCTGATCCTTTTTTGGTTAAGGCTGGCAGTGGAGTTGCCACGCTAGGACTTCCTGATTCACCTGGTGTTCCTAAAGCTGCCACTTATGGAACGCTTACGGCTCCCTACAATGATTTTGCTGCTGTTGAGAAGATCTTTGAGGACAACAAAGGAGAGATAGCTGTTGTTTTTCTTGAACCTGTTGTTGGAAATGCTGGTTTCATTACGCCCAAACCTGATTTTCTTAGTTCCTTGCGCAAGATTACCAAGGAAAATAATTCCCTTCTTGTGTTTGATGAAGTTATGACTGGATTTCGTTTGTCGTATGGAGGTGCTCAAGAATATTTTGGCATAACTCCTGATATAACAACTCTGGGGAAGATCATTGGAGGGGGTTTGCCTGTGGGTGCATATGGAGGTAGGAGGGATATTATGGAGACGGTGGCTCCGGCTGGACCTATGTACCAGGCTGGGACATTGAGTGGGAACCCGTTGGCCATGACTGCAGGCATACAGACTCTGAAGCGTATCAAGGAGGCGGGAACTTACGAATACTTGGACAACATTACAGGTGAGCTTGTTCAAGGAATTGTTGAAGCTGGGAAGAAGGCAGGGCATGCAATATGTGGTGGGCATATAAATGGAATGTTTGGGTTTTTCTTCACACAAGGACCTGTGTACAATTTTACAGATGCAAAAAAGAGTGACACTGCTAAGTTTGCTAAGTTTTTCTGGGGTATGTTAGCAGAAGGTGTCTATTTGGCACCTTCACAGTTTGAGGCTGGGTTCACCAGCTTGGCACATACTTCTGATGACATCAAAAAGACTATAGCTGCTGCCGAGAGGGTCTTCAGGGAAATCTGAATGTTAAATTTTGTCTTACTGCTACTTGAGGTTTTGAAGCGTCAATTTTCATACTTTTGTAGGTTTAATTAGATCAATGTATTATTACTATGGCAGTTTTCATTATAACCTTTATCATTTTCACGTCCTGGTGTATCTAGTCAGTGTTTGTTTAAAGCTGTTTTGTAATTCTCTTTAAATTGGAAATTGTTGTAAGCAATTGAATGCATCGTTTAACTTATACAAGTCTCCTGAATTTCGAATTCTAAGCATTTGAATCCTTCGTTTAACTTATAATTATTGCATCTCCATCATGTTATATTCCTGCCACACTACTGTATTCTTTTTTCATGCATCATATATACACTTGGTACGACACCCACATATTTGATAAATTGAAGTTGCACTCCGATTTTAGTTTTAATTTTGTGCAATGAGCCTAACATTTCATGTTTGCAACTTAAATTTAACATTAATTATTTTAAGGACTTTTCAAAAGGCTGACTTGTGTGAAAGACCCGCAGGGTATATAATACAATACATACATCTTAAGAGTAATAAGTACTTATTACCATTTAAAGAAAATCATATACCCTTCTTCTCACAGGGGAAAAATGTATAGTATGATTTTTGACATGTTAAGTTGTTTTGCATTTTATTTCCTTAAATGGTTATGCGACACTACCGTTTCAGTATTCTTGGGGTTCCCCATATATTTTCTACAACAACGTTACCTTTTCCAATACATATTAGAAATCAAACAAAATGATGAAGTAAAACAACAAGGATAGTGAAATTTTTTGGAAAAGTCCTGAAATTTGTTGAACCTCAGATAGCTATACAGCAAATACTAACAAAATTGTTAAATTACAACCTCAAATGTTTCACAACCTTCACACATAATGTATATCGCAGTTAAATCAAATTTTGTCTTTATACAAAATCTGGGCTTTAATTTGCAACCTCTGTCAAGATGTTCCATATGGACTTCGGCAAGCCGGTCTCGTAAAAAGTCCAAAGTAAGCTGAAATCTCAGAAGAAGAGGACTAGTAGTTAAGAAATGCTAGTAGCAACAGGGGTGCATATAACTTGTAAGTGGTCAATTAAACTTGTAAGAATTATATAAAGGTAATTACATAAAAACTAAAATATTCTTGTCGAATATAAAACAAGACATATCCAAAGAATACATAACACTCAACAACGGATCATCCAATGACCTACAAGACATTGTGATTTCTCGAGAGAACAAGTTTACGACATTCTTATCCTATGGATCCAAATGCCACATTCCTTCCTAGTTAGAGTGGGCCTCTTTTATAGACCCAAAGAGGTACAAGAGATTAGCTGGAATACTAAATCTTACCGTAACACATCTAGATATTTCTTAGGTTAGTTTCTTAACTCTTCCGATGAAGAACATTGGCTTAAGATGTTATAATTCACACTCTGAAATATATTTAAGGAGCACCGAGGAAAGGTCTCTCGTACTAAGATAAAGATCATACACGAATCATGGAATATTCTAAAGAAGATAAAGATCATACACAAATCATGGGATATTCTAAAGTATAGCAAAGGACCCATCGGGGACAAGTATCTTAAAAAGGTCCTATATGAATCATGGGATATTCACATGCAAAAATGAGCAAGCTCCCCAAAAAAATAAGAGATCCACTTCGGGATATTGTCTCATTGTTGGTGATAATATAATTTCTAGGAAGAGAAAGAAATAACGTTATGACTACTCAATCGCAAAAGCAGATTATCGAGTCATGGCTTCAGCCACTTCTAAACTTGTATCGCTCGATCAATTGGTTAGATAACTGAGGTTTGAGGATGTTTCAGAGGACACCTGCTTGTGATAACCAGGCTGCCTTGCATATTTCCTCAATTTTCTTATTCAACTAGGACCAAAAACAAAGAGCAGTTGTCATTGCAGTAGGGAGAGAATGTTATCGAGAGACATTACGACAGACTTTTTAAATGAAAATCACCAACTAGCAAATGTCTTCACATAGTTACTGAAGGGTTTTTCGATTGATTATATGAATCACTGAAAGTATGAATCTGTTATATTCTCCAGTGTGAAATTGACACAGATTCACTCAAATGTTTATTCAGTATATGAGGCTATTCTAGATCTGTAATTAAGCAAACAGCATTTGTCCGCATTCCAAATATCCAATCCTAGGTGTGAGGGAGTGTACTGTGTGATCTTAGATATTGGGATACCTACATTTATCAATGCTACAAACATCAAGTCCTTGGTGTAAGGGAGTGTGTTGAAAATTTGAAATTCCGCATTGATTAGGATATGGCCTAATAGTGCTTATAAGGCTTGGGCAATCTTCACCCCTAAAGCTAGCTTTTGGAATTGATTTAGGACTAGTCCAAATGCTAATAATCATTATAGCTTTGGGACTCGGAAAAGAAAATAAAAACAAAATTATAGAGATTTTGTTAGACTAAGATAGTCCAATAGGATTCCCTCTTCAGTTGGAGAGAATACATGTCTCTAATGGTCAATAGAATGCACTTTTTACATGAAGTTTCACTATACAGTTAAAGAAAATGTGGCGCTCAAAAAGATTATAAACACTTCACTTGAGCAACATATACAAAAAAATATGATGTAACTTCTATTTGAACAAAAAGTCATCAATCCTTTATACTATATGATGGACAATTTTTCTTCTATATACTAGTTAGATCCTGGAGCATAGTATGCCTATTTCAGTCTGACTGTAAAAAGACAAAACAAGTCTAGATCTATAAAGACTAAAATAAACCAATAGAAATCCATAACAATGCATTCTGAACTACAAATATAGAGCTAGGATACTCAAACTTATAGCCTCAATTCAAATCCATTTAATGTTTACTCAAGCACAAAGTTAAATAAATAAACCACTGTTTTACTCTTCAAAAGTAACAAAATCAAGTGTTGTAACAGAGGGAGGAAATATAAGTACCTCGCCTGCTTTAGTCAGTTGAAGTTTACAAAGAGTACAGTATATGATATTGTGAGTTTCTTTAAGCTCCCCATTCTTACAGACGGGGCACCAAATCTCTTTTCTGCATGTCTATTAACAATCACCAGGAACAAATCAAAGACTATATTCAAATAATATCTCGCTGAATATAAAGGATTATTTAGCAACATACATCATCTGCATTTAAATGCATATGCTCATAAACTGCGCGAGCCAAGTAGTCGTCCACTTCATCTTCCCAAGTATCAACTGCATGCAACAGTGAAATAAGAAAATGTCCATATTAACATGTATACGTAATTAGTTACTAATCTCTCTATCTATATATTACCTTGTTGAGATTCGAGGTCTTCATAAAATATCCTTTGCATTTCAAGCAGTATCTCTTGGCAATCATCACCTTGGTACGTGGTATGAGGACTTGGATCGTCCCACAACAGATCATCATCCTCATCGTCATTATCGTGTTTGATAATTTTATGAAATTCATCCGATACAATATCGCGGAATTCAATGTCCAACTGATCCTATACGCAGATTACAAATAGATGTGTAGATTATTCCATTCAATTTAGAATCAAACAGAAGCGAGAGCGAATGGATGCAAACCTGATGAAGATTTTGTGATGGAGAGGAGGAGAGCCTACACTTCCAGAGCAAGCGGGTTCGGTCTTTTCGCACTCTTTTGAAGCAATTATCCCTTAACTGCACCGATGTTAACATCAATTATCGATCAAATTATGAATGAATGAAAATAAAACCCTAATTCCTAACTACTAGTACCTTTTGTTTCCAGAGTTGGTAATTGCTGAATTGAGAATCGGATTTTAACGATAGGCGCGTCGAATTGGTGACTGTTTCGTGATGTTTCTCTTTCTCGCGTGGCGACGATGGTGACTCGGTGGCTTCCTCCATCTCCTGGCGATGATGGTGACTCGGTGGCGATTCTCAGTGTATTACGTAATTAGAAATAGAATTCATAGATACCTAAAAATCATGTGGAATTCCTATAAATTTAAAGTGTCTTAGTACCATTATTCATTATTATATTACACCCAGTTTTGTTATACAATAGAATAAAAGAAAATGCAATGTGACTTACATCATAATAAATCTCATTTTTATTTTAAAAATTCTAAAATAACATAGTAGAGTTTTAATTTATTGTATGTATAAAATTATTTTATATTCATCGTATACTATCTTTAAATTCTAAATTTAATGGATCATTTCATAAAAGATTAAAAATATATAAATAAATAGAAATATGGGTAACATTTTTACTATTATTCACAGTTTATTTTGTATTAAAAAGAAAAAAAATGTATTTAATTTTAAGTTTTTAGAGAATAAATAAGGTTATTATTTAATTTTTATTTAATAATTTAATAAAATGTTTGTCAATTTTAATAGGTTCAGTTCTATCATATTGTATTGAATTATATATTATTCAAATAACATATATATTATCACAATAAAGTCTAGATTAGTTCATTATATTTTATTTTCAAGTCTTATGAAATTCATTTCAATTATAGTGATTCACATATCTCTTATATCATTGTTTTAAACTCTGCTGCAACATTAGATTTTGATAGTATAATTTATTTTTTACTTTTTCAAAATCACAAGATTCCTACCTAAGAAAGTATAATAACTTGTAGTCGACTTTTTATATACAATTGACCTTACTAGTTGACATCAATATATACTTCATGACCTCATTCCCATCTCTTTCAAATACAATTCTTCTACCAGGGTAAATAAATTTTTGTTGGTCACTACATGAGTTTGCTAACTAAGCTAATAGCAAAAGTAACATTGGGTCTAATAAATGAGAGGTATATAAGTTATCAGATAAATTTTTGATGGTTTCCTTATCAACCGCAATATCTTCGATTGTGTTTTCCATTTTTATATTTAGATCAACTGGTGTATTTGCAAACTTGCATATTGTTTTGTCAGTCTCTTGTAAAAGATCGATAATATATTTATATTTGAGATATGAAAATTCTTTTCTTAGAGTGGACAACTTCAATTTTCAAAAAATATTTTAATTTTTCAAGATTTTAATCTCAAATTCTTTGACTAAGTGTATGTCTAATAATTATTGTTCTTACTCATCATTACATGTGACTATAATATCATCTATAACACTAATAACTAGGGGTGGCAAACATACATGTTTGTCCCATTTAGACCCACACCCTGCAAAATCCAACAAAAAATGGAATGGGGCAGGGCAGACATAGTTCAAGGTGCAGGCATACAACTTTAGATCACCCCACAAAAATGATGATGGGACGGGTATGTGGGTTTCGCACCCTGACGACTAAAAAATATAAAAAAAATCTTGTTAATACTCGCGCCCGCAAAAAATGGGGTGAGGCGAGGCGAACATATTAGAGAATTTTGATTTTTAATTTTAAATTAGTAATCTTAAGATTAATTTAGTCAAACTTTAAATTAGTAATTTTATTATTAGCTTAGTTTAGATTTACATTAGCATATTTTTATAATTAATTTAGTTTATATTTAAATTAGTTTAGCTTTTATTTAATAATTTTAAAATTAGCTTAGTTTAGGTTTAATTTAGTAACTTAGAATTTTAAGTTAGTTTAGAATTATTTTAATAATTTTATTTAGTTTAGATTTAATTTTATTAATCTTTAGTTTAAATTTTAAAATTCAATTAAATAAAAAATATAATTTTAAAATTAATTAATTTTCTTAATTAGTTTAGTTTAGGACTTTGTGAATGATTTTATAATTAACATTTTTTATCTCTTAGTTAACTTTCCTTTAAATTATTTAGTTTCTACATGATAAAAATTCAAAAGAAATAATAGAATAGATTTTTTATTTTATTTCATTTTCTTCTTTTCAAATTTTCTCACAAAACAAAATACCAATGTGATACGGTGGGAGAACTGACTTGAGGTTTTGCGTTTGTGTTCGCAAATGTTTCAGTTTAGCAAGAGTCGCCACCGACTTTTTATTTTATCCTAAGGAAAGGTCAAAAAGCACAGGAAAGACCTTTGAGATGTTTTCTTGGGTTCAGGAAGTAGATTATGAAAAGGGAAGGTGCAAGCACCCTTTTCATCCATGGTTATCCATGGACTCTTAGTTACTTGTTTAGATCACTTGCTTTTGCTTTTCAATTGTTTGAAATGGTGCTTTGTGTGTGATTTTGAAAGATGTTTTGAAAAGAGACCATTGTTGTGGCAACCTTTGTAATGATTTGAATGTATACAAAGATGTATTATCTTTTGAAAAGATTTCAATGTTTGAAAGTTTGATTTTGGGAAATATTTTGAAATTGTGTTGTGAGGTGTATTTTGAAAATAGCAAGGATGTTTTTGCAAGTTTTGATCAAGTAAGTAAGAGCTATCTACCCTATTTTACTCAAAGATCTTTCCTACATGTTTTTAACCCTTTTGACAGTGTTATTTTACTATTGCATTTGGTAAACAACCTTGTATTAGGATGTTAAACGGGACAGGTGCAGGTCATCGCATAGACCATGATAGCAATTGTGTCAAGAATTTTTAGCAAATTTTTCGAGGGACTTGATCATTTTGTTTAGGCAACCAAGATAACGTCATCGAGGGACTATGATCTTTTGTTTTGTTTTTGTTTTGCCAAAGTACCCAACATGCATAACATGACCCATTTTTAAGGCAATAAGTGGATGAAACCCTAGGGGTGTAAGTGTGTATTGTGTATTGATTTCATGCATTTTTGTCTTTGTATTAGGTCAAGCTACTTGTTGATTTTGGATTTTTGCATACAAACCCTAATCTCTAATCATGGCATAATTGAAAGCGTAAATGCGTAAAATAAATCTACCATTATTACAACATGATTATGGGGAGGGGGATACAATTTTTGAATGGGGATTATTTGACAAGAAATTAAAACCCTAATTTTACTATTACATCCAAATTGAATCAAATGGCATAAATAATAAATGAACGATATTTAAATAAAAAAATTAAATAAATATATAAAATAAATGAATATGCAAAAAGTTTTTTTTTGTTTATTTTTATGTATGTAAAAATATTTAATACAAAAAAGGGAAGAAATAAATAAAAGAAATTATTATTATTTTTATTAAGGGTAAACCCTAATTTTTCTTAAAGAAAAATAAATATATTAATTATATTATTTATATACAATAAATAAAATAATGTATGTGCAATTAAATATATTTAGAAAAAGGTATTATTTTAAGTACAAATAATAATAATAAAAAGTATAATATTTCTATGTTTTTTTATTTTAAAGTATCTATTAAATAAAATAAAAGTGTGTATATATATATATTAATTATATTAAATATGTATAAAAATAAAATAAAATATATACAAAAATAAAAATATATTTAGAATGATATTTTTTAGTGTAAATAAAATAAAGGATAAGATAAAAATATAATTTATATATTATTTTTAAGTTTTCAATAAATAAAATAAAAGTATATAATCAATAAATTAATTTTATGTTAGAAAAAATGAAAATAAAATACAAAATAAAAGTGAAAAATTTATAAAAATATTTTTGAGTATTTTTTATATTTGGAAATAATAAAATAAAATCAGAAATGAAAATAAAATACAAAAATGTAAAATTTAAAGAAATTGGGCCAGGGGGGTGCATTCAGTAAAAAGGGGGTGTCAATAGTGAGCCAGGACCAAGCCCAGCCCACCACACTTCATCTTCAACCTCTGTTCTTCAAAACGCGCGCGCCTATACCAAACACGAATGTCCTGCATACGAGCTCTATTGCAAAAACACATAACATCAAAGTTGTAGAGCTTTTCAAGACGAATCCAACCATATAAAAAACTTGTCCTAACTCTCAAAGACCAGCGAGAATTTCTCTGTCCCTAAAATCTAACCTAATTTTTTCAGGATATTCATGGACCAAATTCTCTTAGCATGCTTAATTAAAATGAAAAGTGAGCATATGTACAACTTCATGGCTATGAATACTACATTTCTTATTCACGAACCTAAGTCTAAATGTTTCTAAATAGAGAGATAGGAAGTTGATAAAAACCTGTTTCAACTGACTTCGTGTATGGCAATGGGGAGCTTTTCAACAAGGCCTGAGATGTATGGGAGCTTGCTTTAACTTCACTTGACCTTCTTTAATGCCTAGCTTGCCTTGAAGGTGCTTGAACAAGCCTACAGAACTCAACCTGCACAAGCTCAAATTGAAAATGGCAAACCCTGTAAATGGAGTTACAGTTGGTGTTTAAGGTTTGGGATAGCTTGGATGGATTGAACGGAAGGTGTTTGAACAGGTTTGGGGCAAAACGCACGAGAAAATTGTGCTATGGAAGTCAAGATGCAGATGCTGCCCTGTTTTGCCAATGGAAGGTGATTTCTTGCTATGGGAGGTTTGAAGGCTCAAAGGATCGTATTTCTGGCTCAAAGGGGTGTGAGAAAGATGTTTCAAATGCTTGCACAAGTTGGTTTTTGCTGAGGTTCAAGTTCTTGTGTTTTGGACAAATTTCTTGGTTATGAAGCAAAGTGTGTGAAGTGATGTGAAACAGGCCTGTACAAGCTATCCATATGCTTGCACCCTCTGATCTTGGCCCGTCTAATTTGTGGATTTGATTTGCTGCATAAGATCTGGACCAATGCTCAAAGATTGTGGTTTGACATAAAGCAGGATTATGGCAAAAATGGTAATGTACCTTTTTCTACTTAAGGATTAATTTTGTGTGCAATGTTCTAATGACCAAAACAATGTCTTAGACCAATGTATTTGCATTTAATTAATAAGTGTGAAATGGTTTTGAGGCCTGTAATCTAGTACGAAGCAAGCTGATTTGAATTTGCAACTTGTATGAACATGAACATGCCATGGATGAAAAGTGAGTTTTTGCCAACTTCAAGCCTTC